CAACTTTAGGCAATTTTTTATTTTCTTTTATTGCTTTTTATTTTTTCCTGGATTGTATTAAAAGAGGTCTATTTGAATGTCCCCGAAAAAAGAGACATTATGATATTTGGACTTAGCTTTTATCAAAGAAGGGAAGTGTTTTCCTTTCTTGGCTTGATTTATGCTTATAACTATACTTTTCTCCTTTTTGTTACTGATTTGTGTGTATTCTAACATATAAAGTAAAAGCATATTTAATTTCCCACATTCCTTTAGTGTTAGAAGCCAACACCTCTGCAGACCTACTTGGGGTTAACCTTCACTTTTAGGACCTAGCAACATCCCACCCAATCCACCATAAACCACCAGTTTTGTATAGACCCCTTGATACACAAATTTGCACCTAAATTTTATTACTAATACCCCATACTTTGATTCTTCTTATCACACCAGTGTTCAACACAACCCAGCAAGGGTTGAACCGGAACCGGCCGGGTAACTCATAATTGGCTATTGGCCGTGGTCGGTTAGGGTGGTCAACTGGCTTGAACAGCCTAACTTAAAAGAAAATTAAAAAAAAATACAAAATGTCCAAAAATAAGAAGTTTGTTTGTAATAGGTTTTGTAATGTTTTCTATTGTTTTGGAAAAGATTGGGTAGTATTTTGACCATAAATACTTATGTTTACATTTTGCAATAAGATTGGGAAGTATTTTGGCCATGAACTCTTATTTTTAAATTTTCCAATATTTTTTTTATTATTTTAAAATTCCCCTGGGCACAAATTGATTTTTCAAAATCCATTTTGTTACTACTTTTTTAATCTCATTTGGATGTATTTTGTTTAGTTATATTTTAAATATACTTTTCATATTTTTTGAGATTTTCTGTACATTTTTTTAACTCTTTTCAGCTGGTCTGGACTTGCCCATTTAGGGCTGGTTAGCCGGACCGGTCCCAGGTTACTCAGACCCAGCCATCCCAGTTCATGCAATTGAACACTGTACCACACACATGAGTTGTATTATAAATGCAAAGAGTAATTTGTTAGGGTTAGAAAAATAAATATATAACTAATATACTTTCATTTGATGGTCTTACCATATCTTTTGCTTTTATGGGCTTCCTCGTTGTCTTTTATTGGGCTTGGTTTGCGGGTGACACCTCCTAGCTATCTTGTGTGGGTTCCTTATGGTGTTACTGTTGATTGAGGATGCAAGTCCCCTACTTATTGATAAGTAAGAAACAAAAGCTTAGGCTTGGTTTGCTCTGGTTTATTACTTATTGGTGAGGGAAATGAAATCTTGATTCTGGAGGTACCCAATTTGGAAGATTCCAGAACACGAGGCTGTTAGGAAAAAATACCAAATTCCCTTACAAACTCAAACTCGTAATCAATGGTGTTTGATTTGGTTGATCTTAGCTTTAACTTGAATAAAAATAAGAGACAAATTAGTGTTAACATCAATTCTGATTTTACAAATGTAGTCACTTCTGAAACATGTTTGTGTGAAAAAAGATCAGCGTGTGCTGAAGAAACCCAGTAATCTTCTTCATTGAGTTCTTTCCAAAACACACTGGAAAAAAAATCAACAACCTGGTACCTTTACCTAAAGACTACAGTCAGTACAACATGAAAAACATAAAATACCTTTAGCCCCATCGTTGGGAACCCTGATTCAATACCATCCCCTCTACTGCATCCTCTACCAATTTGAAATGGGCCATCAAATTCTCTACTACAGGACTGTTTAACGAAGGATTAATCTGCCTCTAGAAAAGCACCCTTCTATTCTAAATAATTCGTTGTAGAATGGTATTTTTTATGATTCTTGGCTAATATTGGATAAAATGATGATTGAGGGCCAGTTTGGATGTCAAATAAAAAAACCTTCACATTGAAAAAAATCATAAGTTTTCTCATTTTTAATTAAGAAACATTGCTATCTTTTTTTATTATTATGTTGGACTGTTTGGATGGAGTTAACATACTAAAAGCAAATTCGCATTCTACCCTTCCAAAATTTTCTTGCCGATCCAAAACGTTTTTTTCTCTCTGGCAGCAGTAAAAAGTTTGCTTTCATACAATAAGCAAACTTGCAACCCAAGCTTCTCCTTATTCTTGAAGAGAAGGGGTTTCCCATAGGTGTGGTATGAAAGAAAGGGCTCGCCTTTTGTAGAGAGAGAAATGACCTTGGCCTTACAAAAATGCCGCTTAGGGCTGCCATGGATAGGGCTTGAGCTTCTCTGGTTTTTTGCAACTCGAGCTTCTCCTTATTCATGAAGAGAAGGGGCTTCCCATGGGTGTGATATGAGAGAAAAGACTTGTCTTTTGTAGAGAGAGAAAGGACCTTGGCTTTATAAAGACGTCGCTTAAGGCTGCCATGGATGGGGCTTGAGCTTCTGTGGTTTTTTGCAACCCGAGCTTCTCTTTATTCATGAAGAGAAGGGGTTTCCCATGGGCGTGGTATGAGAGAAAAGGCTTGCCTTTTGTAGAGAGAGAAAGAGCCTTGGCTTTATAAAGACGCCGCCTAGAGCTGCATGGATGGGGCTTGATCTTCTCTGGCTTTTTGCAACCCGAGCTTCTCCTTATTCATGAAGAGAAGGGGCTTCCCATGGGTGTGGTATGAGAGAAAAGGCTAGCCTTTTGTAGAGAGAGATATGGTCTTGGCTTTACAACAACGCCGCCTATGGCTGCCGTGGGGCTTGAGCTTCTCTCTTTTTTTACAGAGAGAAAATGAAAATGTTATGTTTCATAGAGAGAGAGAATAGATTTGGGGTTTCTGAGGTTTCATGAAGTTGTTGGGTCACGGGTTGAGGTTTGCATAGGGGTGAGAGAGTTGCACTTCCATCAAAAAAAAATATACGTACGTATACGTAGTTTTAATTTTTAGTTTAAGTTTACGTTTACGTTCGTTACGTACTACGTCGTACGTAGTTTTATTTTTACTTTAATTACT